GAGAGAGAGAGAGAGAGAGAGAGAGAGAGAGAGAGAGAGAGAGAGAGAGAGAGAGAGAGAGAGAGAGAGAGAGAGGGGCCATGGCAACGGCGGCTGCTGTGGCGCCGCTAGCGTCGTCGGGGCTGTCGCGACGTGGGAGTATTACATGGCAGTGCGCGCCGTCGCTGTTGAGCTGTCCTTCATATCCAGCGCTGTGCAAGCCAAAGCCGACGTGCACATCCAGGACGTCCGCTGCTGACGTGGCGGCCGTTGCAGCTTACACGTGTCCAATCAACGGTGTTGGCGGGAAATCGGACAGTTTCGGGGGGAAATCGAACAGACCATGGGATGGCCGGCCATTACAGCGTACACGTGACCACGACCGCACGATGTCGCGACTCTTGACATCGGGAGCGGAGCCGTTCCTTCCAGTCGGGACACACAGGTGTGTGGTGTGTTTCGCTGGGCAAATGGGCTCTGTGGACGAGGAGCGAGGAGGAGACGATGACGATCGGGATCCGGACGACGACGACGACGAGGTTGGCGCGGCTCCTGTCACGGCCGTCGGGGTCGGGACCGAAATCGTGTCGGTCACTGGTGAGTGTCGTTGCAAGACAAAGGAGAAAAGAAAGAAAAATTAAGTTTTTTTTTTTGTTGCCCCCCCCCCTCTCTCCCCTCTCCCCCCCTCTAGAAAAGCTGTCGTCTCCTCATCGGGGGACAGCTGCATATACTATATAGAGACGGTTGGAATAATTAAAATAAATAAATAAATAAAAAAAATTGGTAGGTAGGTAGGTAGGTAGGTGGTGAAAATTTGAAAAGATACGTTCCATGGCATGGCAGAAGCCAGTTAAGAATTGAGGGAAAAATCAGTTATAACTTATATATCGTCACAAACAGAACTGCCCGGTAAACCGTAGGCAGAGAGAGAGAAGAGGACAACAAACGAGCATGATGGTCGTTGTGTTTTCCATCCTTTCCTTCCGCTATTTGCTGCTCGTCATGTTGCCCTACCTGTTTGTTCATTGTCTGAATTATTCCTGTGAAATTCAGTGAAAAATCTAAAAAAAATAAAAAATAATAAAATAAAATAAAATAAAATAAAATAAAATAAAATAAAAATAAAAATAAACATAAAACTTGATAAGAGAAATCGTTATCTCGTATTTCCTACCACCTGTCACCGCGGCTCCCGACTCCGATTCCGATTCCGATTCCGATTCCGATTCCGAGCCAGGCCCTGCCATATTGCCATATTGCCCCATATTGCCATATTGCCTTCATGATAACACTTCTGCAGACTTGAGAGCTATGTATCCCCATCCAACTGCCACCGCGGCTTCCCGTCACTGTGTTTCTTTTTTTTTTTTTTTTTTTTTTTTGACGAAAAGTTTTATAAAAACCGGGAACCCGGCCCGACATTCCTCACAAAAAGTCAGGCTTGACCCCCTTCTTCTTCTTCTTCTTCTTCTTCTTCTTCGTTTAAAAAGTATTTGGCATTTCTTAATACAGTAGTATGTTTGCNAAAAAAAAAAAAAAAAAAAGAGAAAAAGGGTTTGCCAGGACTCAAGTCCGTGGCCACGCGGATTCGAACCGCTGATGTCAGCCACAACAGCCGGGTTTCTTCTTCTTCTTCTTCTTTTTTTTTTCTTTTTTCTTTTTTTTTTCCCTCTTTGAAACATGTGGAAGAGGAGGCCTATTCGAAGAGGTGACACAGGAAGCACCCTCAGGCTGCCGGCTGTCTTAACCACTGCAACTGTCTGTGACACGGTGTTAGTGCTGAAGCCATACCGGCCAGAGAGGAGAAGGGAGGACAATTAGAAGGCGGAAGGCGCCATGCATGCATGCATGCATACCTGGATTACGAAGCAGAAGAAAGATGAGGAGGAGGAAGAGGAGGGACGACGCCGACATGGAGAAGTGTGCGTGCATGCATGCATGCATGCATGCAATAGGAGGAGGAGGAGGGGGAGGAGGAGGAGAAGGAGGAGGGGGGGACAATGAAAATGCCGAAGCCACCGTACCCTTAGAATGGAGAAATAGTCAGTGGGGGCGAGTAGTGGTTGTAGGAGGAGGTGAAGGAGGAGGAGGAGGAGGAGGAGGAGGAGGAGGGTGCAAACGGAAACAAGGGAGGAGAGAAGGGGGGCTCGGCTCAAAGAATGGCCGAGCGAATCCTGTGCTGCCACGTCATCAACGGAGTATCTTGAGCAGGAGAGGAAGTGGGAAGTGGAGGTCGTGGGGAAACTACGATCACAACAAAAATAAATAAATAGAGAAATACTAATAAAATAATAAATATAATAAAATAATAACAATAATAATAATAGTAACAATAATAATAATAATAATAATAATAATAATAATAATAATAATAAGCATATCTTCTTCTTCTTCTTCTTCTTCTTCTTCTTCTTCTTCTTCTTTTTTAAATATTTTTTAATAATTTTTAATAATTTTTATTTATTATTTATTTATTTTTTTATTTAATTTAAGCGGGATGGCCTTGAGATAGCATCCTTGAACTGACCAGCCCCAGGTAACTCAGGATTATTTTATTCTGGTCATCATTATCTGATTGCATCAGGATTCGAACTTCGGTCAGGTTCATTTGTGTCCCAACTGAGCTAATAATACCCGTTGGTGCCCCCCTCAATTTCTGCACTGTTCTCACGCGAAGCGTGCAATACTCCAGGGCCGAGGTCCCACTAGCAAAGAGGATTGGGTTAATCTCCTGAATCTGGACGTGTTTCAAGCAGAGATGCAGTAAAGCAGTTCAAGCTCGATAATCTGCACCTTTGCAGAAACGCGTCCAGTTTCAGGCGTTCAATCCAATCCCCTTCGCTCGTGGGACCTCGGCCCAGGTCCAGAGTCCAGGTCGACCGAACCTTCAAGCGTCGATATTACCAAATTTTGGGTGGATTATTTTTATTTAATTCAAGAGTGCGACTTGGCGGCTGGCTGCCGCACAAGGTTATGAAAGGGAAGTCGCACTCTTGAATTAATAACCTTGTGCGGCAGCCAGCCGCCAAGTCGCACTCAATTATTTGGGAAGAAATTCAAATTGCTTGTAGAAAATTTTCATGTATGAGATTAGTCCGAAAATCCCCAAGTGTTGGATATGCTCTTAATACGTTCTTTCCATTTAAAAAGGGAAAAGGGAAAAGCGTATCTTTTGCAGCTTGAGTCCGCCGCCAATGTGAGTGACATGGCGACTGAATTTGGCCGCCATTACGGTCACATGCGTTGTCAAGCATTACATCTCTCCACTCCCTCGCCCGTTCAGCATGAACCGCGCTTCGCTGCGCACTGCGTCATCCGTTTCGTGCTTCGCTGCGCCCGTTCAGCATGAACCGCGCTTCGCTGCGCACTGTCGGCAATGACGGTCAGATGCATTGTCAAGCACTGCAGCTTTATCCCGTTCGTTCACTGCTGCTGTGAGTCTGTTTAGTTTTTCTCCATCTCGCCAATGTGACGTGTCAACTCGTCCCTCCTTTAGCCTCCGTTAGCGTCCGGTAGCTTCTGTTGGCCTCCGCTGCGTTAGCCTCCGCTGCGTTAGCCTCCGCTGCGTTAGCCTCCGTTAGGCTCGGTTAGCCTCGGTTAGCCTCGGTTAGCCTCGGTTCGCCTCCGTTCCGTTAGCACAGGTTACACTCAACAGAGGGGTATTGTCGGAAATTATTCGTGCCCCCACAAGATACGTAAATTGAATAAATCCCAAGTTTGGTCGAAACTGAATTTGACCTTATGAGTCGACCAAATTCAGAGCAGCACTGAGAATAAAGCATGCATGCATGTGTGTGTGCGTGTGTGTGTGTGTGCTGTCTCTTATACACATCTAGATGTGTATAAGAGACAGGCTTAGGGGCCTCCGTACGTTCGGCCTGGCAACC